CCCCGCCACTCTTTGATATCCCATCACGTGATTTGGATTTCTCTTTTTAAGGAGTTATTGTGCCACGCGAGATAATCAACTCAATGAGGTAGAAATTTGGCGAGTTAAGTATTTAAACTGACTCTTATAGTTAGCCCCATTGGGAGAGAGAATTTGCTGACTTGCTTTTTAGTGTAGGTAGTTGCTGTCATCTCTTAACATGAAGACAATTAAACTACTTTCATGTATACTTGTCTTTCTTCAATTGGTTTAACTCGTGTTCTTTTTGGTGGATCTAACTATCAAGACATAATGAAGACTTTTAAGATAAATATTTCCACTGTCGTGGTAAGCTTTCTTTCCCATAATTTTTCCCCTCAAACTCAAAACAATCAAAGCTGCTCCTTTTGGAACCACAAAAACTTTACAATTTATCATTTCAAAATCACCATCGAGAATTCTGAAGTTGAAGTTTTATAGGCAGTTCTAATTAAATTATGTTCAGGACAGTTAGAAATTAAGGAGAAATTAAGAATGGCTGTGAAAATTACTCATTTACAATAGATAATCAATTTTTCCTGCACCAAAAATTTAACTTGATAAGATACGATTTTCTTAAAATTTCCTTGAAAAGGGGCAGTTCTTCCTTGTCTTTCCGTGTTCCTTGAAGATACTCCATAAAAAAATGTAATTTGCTTATATAGAGCTAAAATATTCAATTCAATTTAAAAAGTTTCGTGTCAGTGCTATGCTTTTAAAGACGGAGATTTTGATCTACGAATCTGTAGGGCCTCTTGAGTTCCCAAGGGCCAATTTCGGTTTCCAAGAGCAAAAAAGTGTGCGCATTCCCTTTTCATTTCTTGGCCTCGTACTCAACTTTGCTGGATTTCAGAATAGAGTAAATTTGGGATTTTTGTAGTGGTGACTCACCATCTGTTAAATAGCAGAGCTGTAAGTTGACACGAGCAAATCAATATTTATGTCCCTCTAGGGCAGAATGGTACACCTAGGTAACTAGCCTAGCTCCATTGTCAGTCTTGGACTTGGGGTACTGCAAACAATGCCATAGAAAAGAGGATCGATTTGGGTCAAGTGACCCCAAATTGAACAGGATTGATATTTACTAAACAAACATTTTTTCAGCATCAATACTGCATAGATTAAACCAAGGTCATGGTCATATTGTACCAGGGGAAAACAATTAGATCCCTCTTAACGAAATTTAGTTCATTGTGTTTTCCTGTTACTTGTACTTTTTCGCGCGCATTTCTTCTATTCTCTTCTGACTTGTATTTATAACTATTCAGTGGTTTCATTGGTTACCTTCAAGGTTGTACAAAAGCAGATGGGTTGTAAATTAACCGAGTCTTCTTTGCGTGGACTTTATTGGTGGATTTCATATGAATTCTGATAATAAAACGATTGGCTATGTCAAATCTGAACATAACTCAAATACCTTCGCCTTTATCCCCTCGCGATTTTACCTAATCAAAATCGCTTTCTTTGCTATTTCATTGAATTTTAACTTTTATTTTATCGTTTTAAGTGGTCGACTGACAATTGTAGTACCAATTAGAGGAAAGATCGTTTTGGTGATTTCGTTATCTTTGTTTGTCAGAGGGAGAGTTTGGGTCAAACTTGTGGCGTCTTCATTTGCATTTCCCAGAGTTAATTATCGCAGCATCAGCCAATTAGATCATCCCACTTTGGAGTTAGCATTTGAAAGGGAAACTAGCGAAAGTCCAGTGGGATAAAAAAACGCTCGATTTCCGTTGCTCGTTCAAACTGACTCGTTTCGGATCAATGGCCTACGTACAATGGCGAAGAAATCGGGTATTTACGAATTGCCTTTGAATTTTTTTTCGAATCGCTCTGTTATTTATTCCCATTAAAGCAAATTTAAATTTTACTTTACAAAGCACTTAGATGTCTAAAATTACTTTTCAATTTCTTAACCTCCCTAGTTTTTGTTAATTTTCATTAATAGTATTAAGCTTACTTCGCGTTTATTAGGTACTATTGTGTTTAATGGGGGTTTTCTCATTGAAGGCGTATGAACTTTTACTTCATTATGAGATTATGTAATTGTATTGTATTAAAAATCTCCATTTGGTTTTCTTGCTGGAGTAATAATTAGGATATTTCAATATAGGTAGGCATTAAATTAAGCTTGAATTACCTGATTCAACAAAATTCGACTAAAACAATATATTCCGTTCCGTTTGAAATCCCATCAAAGTTGCTTAATTTGTATTTTACACTAACGGGTAATAGAAGAATTTGCGTCTTTACGGCTATTTTATAGCTGCTGAGAAGATGGGTTCTGGGGTGTTTGCAAGCTCCTTCCAATCCAATATGAACATAGTCAAGACATTTCAGCCCATTTTAGCAAAATTCCTCTTGAATGCGGGTTTCGTATCATTAGTTAAAACAAATTAAGAACTTCGAGATGGGTTTATTCTGTTAAAACCTTGATTACTGTTGGTAACTTGATTGTTTAAAAGGTTTGTTAATTTTCTTTCCTACCTAAAAGTTCGAGCTGTTCCCACAATTTATCGATTTTTCGGAAAACTAATATAACACCGATTTTCCTATTTGGAGGAACATTTAATGAATCTAAATGCTTGCTTAACGCTAACCAATCGGTTTTCTTGATTGATTTCTCATTTATTTTTAATAATTTCTTCTCATTTATGTTAACCTACTTACGTGTTGCGTTTTACTAGTGTCAGTTCAGTTTGTATTCTGTATTATAGAATTGTTATTGCAAAACCCCGGTCTCGCTAATGATTTGTTTATTTATTTAACGCTTCTCATATTGCTTTGTTATGCATTCGTGTTTTAAAGGGTAATTTAAAGAAAGTGTAAAAATAATTATCCAGTTGTGTATTAAATCAATTACTGAATTCGGCACTTTTTGAAATTCTTGTCTCCCTCCTTCTTAAAAATCTATTATTTCGCCTCCAGTTTATTTATATCTTGGTTACAAAAAAAAGTTACATGATTTTGTGCCTTTTAAGTTGCACTCGTATAGCCAAGACTGATGTCCCCGAAGCTGCAATTCGGGTCAGGTTCAAGTAGAAGTCGGTAGGTTTTACTTCTTTCAATTCCATGAAAGTTAAATTAACACTTGTAGGAAAGCAGCTGTTTGTGTTAATTTAAATAATACCTAAACTGACAGTGGTATTACAGCAACTGTTGCACAAAATAATTCAAAATTTGGCCCCTAAAATAGCTCACCTAAAACGTACATATAATTTCTTACCAAGAAATATATAGTAATCGTGTTTGGCACAAATCTTGTTAATTAAGTGAGTCAAAATCCTTTTACGTGGCTCTTAACGTCTGTAGTCCCAGAGTCGAAGAAGAATGTGTGTAAAATTGATACAACTCGTATGTCGGCTAGAGGAAATGAATTAACAGCTCTTTTGTTTACTTTGTTATGCTAGTAGTTCGTTTATTCCGCCTAATTCATAATAAAACACGGTACTTTGTTATTTAAGATGAAGGAAATAAAGCCCCCCTTATCCCGAAGGCTTCTACGAAGACCAACAGATCCTATCATGAGTCTTGAGTCAGGTGCTGTCGACCCTTCCGAAGTTAGCCAATACGAACCTCCTATTCTCTATCCTGAACGTTCATTAGTCGGCTCACTCCCACTTCACGAGTGTGCTCGGAGCACTTTCTCAGCGGTAAGCAACCAATCAGATGAGGCACATTAATGCGTCTATTCATTCACTCAGCTGATTCTCCCTTATCTATTCTACTAGCACCTTCTAAGTAGTTTATCCTTTTGCTTTCAGTTTGTTCCTTTCGTTGTGGAATTGTGTGTAACACTGGTGGAGAAGTTCGGTCTAAACTGTGTTGGCATATACCGAGTATCGGGAAATAAGCTGGCGCATGACTTCATGGCTGCCGAACTCTGCAAGGTAAATAATTTTTCTAACGGACTTACACTACTTATATTAGTGATAGTAGATTGCTAATATTAAATTTTTTATGGTGTAGCAACTAGGGGAGATCGATGCAACGAATGAAAAGTGGAATGATATTCATGCGCTAGCCTGTGTGCTCAAAACACTCCTAAGAAATCTTCCAGATTCTCTAATTCCAAAGGGTATGATTCCTTCATCCTCCCCTCTTTATTCCCAGAGAATATGTGTTTAGACTCAAATGATTAAACGCTTTTCTAGCTATGTATCCCGAATTCTTGGCTGCCTCGCGCGTAGAATCTTGGGAGCGGAGATTACTATCCGTCCAGCGCCTTCTGAGCATCATGGAGTGTTACCCCAAACACCCTGAGTACCGAGTACACAGAACAACCCTTCGTTACCTAGCAACACACTTGGCGAGGGTCGCTTCACGTCAATCAGTCAACCGCATGACAGCGTATAATCTTGCTCTCGTTTTCGCTCCAAATCTCATCCAGTCGACTGAAGATACCCCAGAACTCTTCATGGCCGACTCAAAATTCAAAATCTGGGTAATTGGCACCTGAAATTTAAACTCTATTCTCATTCTTTCATCCATCTATTCATTAGCGAAATTATCTCATGAGGTGTAATAGGAATGAAAAAATTCCGGGGGGTGGGTGTTGTGTAACCTGATAGCGGTGTACTTAACTGTGTGTGTGCGTGTGTGAAACGGTAGCGTTGAGGTGCATGCTTGGGTGCTGCCGGAAGGCGCCCTCAAATGCAATTGGTGAGGGCATTCACTTTACTAATTGGTTTCATTCACCAATCATAGATAGTTAATCAACGAGTCGAGCATGATGGTTTTAGTTGCCATTAATGCCAATAGCAACTCTTTGGACTTCACGCTATGCCCTTCATGGGCTATATTTGAATGCACCGCCTTGCATCAAACTAAGTGAACCCTCTCATTGTTGAATTAGAACTATTTCTTATTATTTATTTATTTATTTCGAATGGCAGGCATTTTGATAGTTATCATTAGCCCTTAGCTGACCTCGAACTTCACGGAGGGGAGAAACATCAAAGTTAGAAAAATTCAAAAGGGTAGAACGAAGAGTGCTTTGCCGGTGTAAACGAGACAGACCCAATGATAGAGAGTAGGGTAAAGTGAGCACTGTAGAAGTGGTCGACTGTGACATACAGTGAGGTCATGGTAGTTAGAAGTCAACTGTCGGTTAATAGATTTTTTTGCCGTATGAGTATACTTTGCCCAGGGTGCACCAAGTGGAGGTTAGTCCATCGCACACCTCTATTTCTAATTATAAAATGCATCATTCATTGATTTCAAATGGCAGGCGTTTTGACAGTTATCATTAGCCCTTTAGCAGACTTCGGGCTTCACAGGGGAAGGAACATCAAAGTAACAAGAAGTCGAGGGGTGGGGGACAGAAGAGTGATTTACAGTTGTAAAAGAGACAGGCACAAAGGTAGAGTGAAAAAGGTGAGGTGAGTACCGTAGAAGTAGTCGAATTTGACATACAGTGGGGTGATGGTGGTTTGAATTAGATATTTTGCCGTATGAGGGGGAGAAGTCAACTACCAGTTAATAGACTTTGCCGTATGAATATACGTTGCCCAGGGTGCACCACGTGGAGGTAAGTCTATTGAAAAACGAATGCCGAGTGATAGAATTTTTGCCGTAAGAAAGTACGTTGCCCAGGGTGCACCACGTGGAGGTAAGTCTATCGTAGTTAACTGCCAGTTAATAGACTTTTTGCCGTATGAATATAACGAAAGCCGAGTGATAGACTTTTTTGCCGTAAGAAAATACGCTGCCCAGGGTGCACCACGTGGAGGTAAGTCTATCGCACACAAACTTCCGGTTAATAGACTTTTTACCGTATGAGTATACGTTTCCCAGGGTGCACCACGTGGAGGTAAGTCTATCGCACACCCACCAGGGTGCACCACGTGGAGGTAAGTCTATCGCACACCCCTTGTAGGGTGCACCACGTGGAGGTAAGTCTATCGCACACCCCATAAAATGCATCATTAAATTCAGTTTACACTGCGTTTTTTTTCCTACTAACATTTAACTAAATTGTATGGAAAAAATTTGATTAAGATCATTTTATCAGATGCGGTTTATAGCCAAGTGTATGACATCTAATTGATCTTTCATTTTCTATCACTTTTGTTACTTAAAGATTTCTAAATTCAACGCGTTCTGCATTTCAGCTACTGGAAACTATAATCAAATATCATAAATGGGTGTTCTCTCCGGACTTGGGTCTCGAAAGCGGCTGTTTCGTTCCCGAAGATTCTGAAGATCAGATCCTTCTAACAGATGAAGCCTTAGCAGAAGCAATGGCTGCATCGTCTGCAGGCAGTGGTCCTGAATTCGCCAACCAACCCGGACGCTCAGAAGGTGAGTCAGTTGACTCCTATTGATGATTAAAATAATACAATGAAACTTCTTCAATTCGGAGTACACGATAATCTATTCCTTCACTTGTAAAGGTGATGTCCGACCAGTATTGCAGGAGATGTTGCACGCCGCAGCTCTCTTACCCCCACCTCCCTCCACTTCTGACCTTGAGATTGCAGAGGAGCCAGGTCCAAGTAAAGATCGACCAACAGACGTGACAACGGTTGTTGAACAGGCTCTTGAATCTAGCGCCGTGGAATTCCAAGAACAGCAACAACAAGCCCAGATGCAACGAAATCGACCCTTCAGTCAACCGGGAGCTGACCACCGTACCCGAAAACATGAACGGTTGGTTCTCCTTCTAATGTTTACACGTTGTGTTGAAAAGAAAAACAGGAGATATCGATAGACGCCTAGAAATTTGGCATATATATATTCGAATGCTTTCATTCTTATTATTGCGTTTCCAGACCACATTCCTCCTGGTACTATTAAAAGTATGTAATACTAAATGGCATTTTCCAAATTGTTAACTCTTATCGCTTCATTTTCCAAAAGATTACAAGGTGATGATGATGATGATGGAAGGTGTCTGCGATACTAGGAGTTTGAACAGATCAGTTCTTTTTGGATCATCTTTGAAGAAGATCTTTGTTGTTAATCCCTTGGTATGGAAGCGAGGATCTTAAGACTTAGCTTTGAAATTGTGGAAACTTAGTATTTTGTGCCAGGCTGTTCACATCCGCTATGAGGTCTGACCCAAAATTTGCCAGGTTTAAAGTCAAAGTAATAATTTGACCAAAAATCAATAATCAGGTGTGATCAGTTGTATCGGTATTCCTGTCAGATCTGAGAGTGGGTATGAAAGGGACCACCAATACTAAGACCATCAAAAAAACAAAAACCCACAAAAGTAATCACATCTTGATGCTATCGACCTTGAAAGTTAGCGCATAGAAATAGACTTTATTCCTCAATCTCATGAAGTATTCATTCAGTATTTCAATAAATATTATTCTAATTTTACTTTCCAGGTCGCTCTCAGTTGGCCGACGCAGAGATGAACGTAAGTTAGTAGTTTGCCTGCTTTGCATGCTACACTATTCCTCCCACCACCCCTACCCCCACCCACCCC